GAGTATTTCTGGAATTATAATATGTATTCAAAGTATGGTTTTAATTTTTTTTTCCCAAAGAGCTAACAAGTGTTCCACTGCCGTTTATTAAATAATCCCACTGAGTTATAATGCCTCCCTTCTCATATATTAAATTATTATTGATATGAGGGCCTATATCTGGGCTTTACGTCCTCTTTTCTAATTTGGCTATTCTTGAGCCAATAAAACTCTCAATATATTACTAATGATGATATTACTAACATGACTTTATTAATAATAAAACCCAAAATTAATTTTATAAGTCCTGCTATTTTAGAAATATTATCTTTTTATCTACAATCATTTGTTTGAGTCTTCCTTTATATCTTTCAGTAGTTTTTATGTTTTCTTTGATAGTTCCTATTATTTAAGGCTATTCCTAGACATTATATTTTAGTTGCTACTGTTGGAAAATCTTAGAATTCTTAATGCCTCCCATTTGGTTTCTTCACCAGAAACTGGAAAATCTGGACCCACTCATCTGATTTAAACAGATGAGGTGAAAGGAACTGGAAGAGCCACCGTGAGTGGACAGATACTGAGAGCCGCTCCATGTGGTGGCTGAGTGCTTCTCTGGAAACAATTCTATGAGACACAGAGTTTCCAGCTTGCCTTGAGGTTCCTGGATATTTACAAGTAGATATTAAAAAGTCTGTGACAGACTTACCCAGAATAAGACAGCACTTGCACAGAGGGTTATACGGACACATTTTCCCCACGTAGTGAAGGGAACACGCTCTTGTTCCTTAAAAAAAAAAAAAAAAAAAAAGTTTGGTCAATCAAAGGAGTACTCTGGTGAAATGATTTTTTTTTTCTCCTGATTGGTCTCTAAATCCTAGGCTTAATTTTTTTAAAAATTAGTTTTCAAACATAGCCCCCTTCCTCATAACTGCATTTTTTTTGTTAATTTCAAACATACACACAACAAGGCATCTGCAGTGCTCATTTTAATGTCTTCTGAAAATGCAAGCATGAATAATGAACTGTTTATGTGCCATGACCTTAGCTCAGGAGCCTGGGTATCTGACAATGCTAAGCTGTAGAGCTACATTCCTGAGCTTGTCTGAGATGTTAGACATGGCAGCAAGGATGGCGCAGAGCCCCTGTAGGACAGGAAGTTCCACAGGTGTCTGCAAGTTCTAGGTATCCACTATGTGTTTCTTGGTTGAGCTTTATATATTAATTTGGTATAGCTATGAATTTTGAGAGTTTCCATGGCCCATAAGAATATATTTAAGTTTTAAGAGATCAATACTTCTCAAGATTTACCTGGATTATACCAGCAACTGTAGCATAATAATAGCTATAAGCACTTACACATTTACTCTATGCCAGGTACTATTCTAAGTAGGTTCTACACATTAACTCAGTTTACCCTTACCACAACCATGTGAGGAAGCAACTCTATTATTCCCATTTTTATAGCTGAGGAAACTATGGCATACAGAAGTGAAATCGTTTCTCAAAGATCATTCAGCTAGTAAGTTGCTGTGTTTAGATTTGCAGGCAGTCTCATTCCCAACACTTCATTACCACACTACAGGCTCTCTAAACCAGTGGAGGATGCATTAGCAACAAAAGGAAAATGAGGAAAAAAGATAAAGAAAAATGACCCTTTATCTTCAATTTTTTAACAAGCAATGTTTCAAAGGAAATTTAACTTACTGGCAATTTTAAGTTACCAAATTGTCTTTTCTTCATTACTTTTTCTACGTTGCCAATATTATAAGCTTTTTTTTCAGTATTTAAAAGTTGTTTTCAACATTTAATTTTATCTAAGTTTCTGCTTTCATTTCTGAATGTATAGTCTTTCAACAACACATGGTTTGACTTCATCATCTCCCATAGTAAACAGTGAGAACGATTCATAATGGGAATTATTTGCAGCTTGTCACATGGTAAAAGACAAATGTCACCTTTTGTTGATAACTGAACCTCATTTTTTTCCATTTATAAAATGAGGAGGTTGAACTGCTCCCTCCAGTCCCTTTTAGTGTTGGCATTCTATAAATCTGTGATTCAATTGATAAAATCTATACTTTGGGACATTTTTCTGATACTCTTGGTAAAAGCATTTTCTTTCCAAGAATTATTCATATTCAGAACTGACTGTCCTTATGCTGATGACTGCAAGTACAATCAGCTCTAAATTTTCTGTGTGGATGGAAAGGAGCAATAATGCAGATGATTCAAAAATTATCTTTCACTGGCTTTGGAATATATATATATAAGAGACAGAGAAAGAAATAGTTTTATTTTTTTATTTTTGTAGCAGCAGTAGCAGAAGCAAATTTACCTTTCCAATTATATAAAATGCCTCGCACAGCCCTAAACAGTTGAATTTCAACGAATGTTTCCCTTCTTCCTCCACCCTTTCTCCAACTTTTGGATAAGAGCTGCACAATCTTGTGTGCATCCCAACCAGAAGGTGGGGCAGTCACCGAGGCTTACAGCAACACAAAGGGCAGCTCCTCCAGGATGAAAAAGCGGTCGTAATAACGTGAGGCTTGTGAAAATTTGAGGATCAACTATAAAATCCAATGTGTCCTTCTTATACAACTATGTCATAGAGTCTAATTTTTCTATTTTGCATTTTTTATCAATATGAAAGAAAGGACACAGACCAATGCATCTTTTCTTCTACATTTTATGTTGGAGTCTAATTTTTTTTCCCAATTTTACTTTATTATGAAAGAAGGCGTCACATTTATCTCCTATGTCCACCATTCTAAGCAATACTTCTTCATCTTGGCTGCATATTAGGATCACCAGAGAAGCTTTACAAAATCCCTGTGCCCAGGATATACCCCAGGCCACAAAGTACCACCAGAGTATACAGTGATGGGACCCGGGCATCAAGACTTTCCAGGGTCCCCAGGTGATTACAATGTGCCACCAGGGTTGAGAACCACTATATAAACAGACTAAATTGTATCTACATAACATTCTCTTTACCTGAGTAATCTCATTGATCACCACGTGAGTACACTGTGCCTCATATTCTGGCCGGGGTTGCTCTTCCTGTTGTAACTCAACAGTGTCCCATTCGTACTCAAGTTCTGCCTGGCGCCGCTTCCAAAACTCCAAAAACAAGGTGACTAATAGAGAACAGAAGCATGTAGCTCATCAGTGATGACTGATGTTTCAGAAATCTGTACCAAGTTATTAATTGTTCTAACTATCCAAAACACTTTTATACAGTCACTAAAGTCTAACATACAGGTGATACTAATGTTTAAAAGAGAGAAGTTTTTTTTTTAAGATTTTATTTATTTATTTTGACAGAGAGAAAGAGAGAGCACAAGTAGGCAGAGAGGCAGGCAGAGGGAGAGGGAGAAGCAGACTCCCTGCGGAGCAGGGAGCCCAACGTGGGGCTCGATCCCAGGACCCTGGGATCATGACTTGTGCTGAAGGCAGACGCGCTCAACTGACTGAGCCACCCAGGCGCCCCGAGAGAAGTTAATTTTTTTCAAGATGACGTTGATAATTTATTCAACTTGTGAAAACAAACTACAGCCACGGGAAAGGTAATAACATGATGGGCAGAAGGCATGTGTGTGTGTCTAATGAATGCTAAGGCATCTGCTACCAGCACTTTACTGCCAACTAAGAAAGACAAATAACTACCATAATTCAAAAACAGTTTATGGTCCATCCATCTTTCAGCCTGTTCATCCCTACATCCCCCGCCCCCTCTTTCCTAAGGGCCTGAGGGGGGCACCTTAGTAGTCCCCAAATCTCTACTTACCACCACCAAGCCACCCTAAATTAATATTCTTAAATATGGAAAACTGATATTTTTTCAACCCTGTGTGAAGTATGAATAAAATAATTTTTAGAACTCTTTACTAGGAACTTAAAATACTAAATAGAAACAATATTAAATGTTGTTTGAAAATGTAGTTTCAGGGTAAATCCCTTAGATCCTCTTTTGATCAGACTGGTACCCCTGTGCCATTCCCATACAGAAATTCTGGATTTATTACTGTTCCACACACAAGTATTTCTATGTGCCAAAAAAGACACAGGCCATGCTTCAAGGAGCTCCTAGGTGTGCAGAAATTATTGTGACGTGATAGCTACAGTATACTAGTGAGGGTTATGATCAACGTAAGCACAGCTGGCTCTGGGCGTGGAGCCAGAACATGTGACCAAAGTGTGGCCGAGGTTCTCTCAGAGGAGGGGACCACTGCAGATGACTGAGTTAGAGTTGATCAGGTGAAGGTGGGACATTAAAGCCACCTCCCCGGAGGGAGCTGCACATGCAAAGGCAAGGAAGCCAGAGAATCAGAATACTTTCTAGAAACGGCAAATATCCGGAAGTGAGTGCACACCGTCACGAGGAGCGTGGAGAAGCCAGTGGAGAGATGACAGGGGCACATCACAAAGGACTCTATGCCTTAAGTTACCCTTTTGTAACTTCAAGGTAGAGGGGACACTGCAGGGGTTCTAGAGAGACTAGAGGCAGGGAGACCTGCTGGCAGGTACATGATGAGGCCTGCTTGGGTGGGGAGGAGAGAGAAGACAGCATGTTTGGCAGGTAGGTTAGATGCAGGTTGTATAAAGGGGAGGAAGAAATCTAGGATGCCAACCAGGTTTCTGGCTTAGGTGATGCCCTAAATTCTAGGGCCATTATCCATAATAAAAAGGGCAGTAAGAGGAGTGAAGCCAACAGGTTTGGTTCAATCAGGTGCCTCTGGGCCACAGGAAAGATGGCCAGTAGGTAGGTAAACATCTAGAACTCGGGAGAAAGATCTAGGCTGAGCCGGAAACTTTTTAAAGCAGTAACTGAGGCCATGAGTGGATGAGATCACTAAATGAGGTGGAGAGGGGTAGCTCTCACCGTGGCTGCACATGAACAGCACTTGGGAGCTTTAAAAAAACAAAACAAAACACTGAGCCCAGGCACCACCGCTGAGTTTCTGACTTTACTGGACTAGAATGAGGCATGAGCACTGTGTTTTGTTTTTGCTTAAAAGGTCTACATCAGTCAGAGTTGAGAACTGCGGGAGGAGACAGCAGAGAGAGGCCAGCCTGACGTCCTGCAGCCCATGGGTGGCCTGAGATGCAGGAGGAAATCCTGGGATGTGGCCGTGAGTGGCAGGAACTCCGCAGTCCCCAACGGCGAAGGCAGCTGAAATGGGTAAAGCACTTGCTTCCAACAGTGTTTGTTTTGTGTTTACTAATTTTCCAGGAGTGATGAGTCAGAGTAGAAATAAGCTGGATGCTGGAATCGAGGTCAAATCCTGGTTCTGACGATTATTAGATGCGTGACTACTGGTCACCATGTTCCAACTTTCTGAACCTCCCCCATTTCCCGTTCTGTGAAATGGGGGCAGTAGGACCTACCTCACAGGGCTGTTGTGAGCTTAATGACATCATCTATGTAAAAGCCTTCCCCCCAACTCGGCGGCAACTGTTATTATTCTCCTCATTTTAGACACAGAGAGAGAGAGGCATGGAAAGGTTAAGATACCTGCCCAAGGTGACAGTGTTGGAGGCCAGGCATTCTTGGCTCCAGAGCCCAAGCTGTGCTTACTCACTATGTGGTACTTCCTCAGGCTGCCTACCGCCAGGCGGTAATGGGATATTGGAAGGTGAAGTCTGCAAAACCTTTGGGTATTACTTTGCGGAGTCCAGGGAAGACACTGGTCATGTATTATAACCATGCACGGTGTTAGAGTGATCCTGGACGACTGCTGACTCACATTGCTCTGTGTCGCCCACTGAGGGCACCAGGACCTCGGGTGAGTGTGTGCCATGTCAGACAGGAATTTCCTGCTCTGTGTCTTTTGATCTTTCTCCCTCTGGTGGGGAGCACTGTACTTAAGTTCTCTGGCAAACCACACACCATGAGGCTCGTGTTGATTACAGAGACACAATTAGGACTCTTACAGTAACATGTCATGAGAGAAGAGGGAAAGCTGCCTAGGACTTTGGGAATCAAGAACAGTTTGTTCTCTCACTCATGGTATCATGACATCTACAGGAAGGATGCATCATATGAAGACAGCCATAGACAGTGTTGGTGGTTATATCCAGCACCGTCCAAGGACAAGGGGCACACACTAGCACATGGTAGTGTGCCAGTTGCTGTAAGTTTGCTGCTGGAGAGCTGGGCCATTTTATTGGGCCTTGAAACTATTCAGACCACTTTATTCACAAAGCTGAGTAAGTCAAGATGAATTTGCTCAGCCTTTATTCCAACTTCCCAACTAAAAGACTAGGTTAAAAAAAACAACAACATTTTTTTTCAGACTCTCTTGCAGCTCGGGTTCCTGGTGTGATTTTATAAAATGCCCATCAGGTGCATGTGTGTGTCACTTAAATGAGAAACTGAACTGAATGAAGGCAGAGGTGGTTGCAGGAGCTGCATTATTTTGCTGTTGTGGATACAGCAGGAGCAGTACAGTTCTGGAACTAATTGGCAACAGTTGTTTCCTGATCTCCAAGTGTAGTTGGTTAGGGTACTGCCTTCCTGATTCCCCAGCTCCCCATAAACCAAGTGTCCAGTGTTTTTCCGGAAATCACTAGGCCCAGCCCAGAACTCAAAGGTGAAAATTAGAAATGCAGCAGAGAGCCTGGAGCCAGGGAGAACCCAGTAAGTAGGTACAAAGTAACAAGCAGTAAGGAGAAGTGGATATGTCAAGAACTGGCACTTTAGCCTCGGGTCGGGTCCGGGTTTAGGACTTGAGTCAGTATGAATATGTGGGCTGGCTGGGCCTGAAAGGGTGTACATTATTCAGATAAGTACATGATTTGTACTACGTTTATTACAAAAGGTTTTCGACCCTCAACTTTTATAATTCCTAGGGAGCAGAAACATAGTAAAAATATACTGATAGATCTGAGCACATAGGAGATGCTACAGGAATATGAATAGTGGTGATATAAAAGACTTCACATGGCCCTCCTGCCTCTTTGGTTCTGCAATTTCTGATTTTCTGTAACAAGGTTCACAGCAGTGGTTCTCATAAGGCAGATGTAGCAGGAAAGGCAATATAAGACACTAAAAATAAGACTTCATCATATGTACGTATCCTTAAAGATCACATATGATGCGACAAGCAATGCTGAAATGTTTCCTGCCTTCTAAAATCTGATGACATGAAATCAGCTCGATATGCTTAAGTCAGTTCTATAAACACAGTATAGTCAATAATCTCAGAAAGCAAGGTTAGCTAGGAAACGGGAGGTTTGTCTTTCCAGTGCAAAGTTAATTTGTATTTTTTGCTTTATTTAAAATGTATTTCGGGGCGCCTGGGTGGCGTCTGACTCCTGATTTCGGCTCAGGTCATGACCTCAGGGTCATGGGATTGGGCCTGCGTCGGGTTCCCTGCTCCGCGGGGAAGCCTGCTTCTCCCTCTCCTACTCCCCCTGCTCATGCTCTTTCTCTATCTCTACAGCGAATAAATAAAATCTTAAAAAAAATGTATTCCTAAATTAGGGCTGTCAACATCCATTAGTATATGGAGTTCAACAGATGTGTTAGAATTTTATTCATTACAAATCAGGGCTGAGACAAAGGTTAGGATAATAAGTAAAAGTGAGCACCACCCATGTGTTCAGTACCCTGTGCTCTTACTGGGGGTGGAAATGACACAGTTTACAACAGAGGAGTACAGAGGATTTTAATCTACAAATTTGATCTTTATTTTTCTGTGTGTCAAATATTAGCTAGTTTTGGTCTCTAGCCAGAACACAGCTAAATGTCTGAAGGACAGTAACTTTATAGATAAGTTTGGCCATCTTAAAGTTCGCTTTATCCAGGAGTGGCAACTAATCTCTAAAAAGTGTCCAGAACAGTTGGAACATCTGTTCTGTGATCTATCTGGTGACTTCTAATAGGCACAACCACTGCAGAAGAGAAACATCTCAAGGACACGTAAAAAGCACTGTGAGCTGCATGAGTTCATGTGCTGTCTTCTCAAGAAGACTTGAGTCACTTTCTTCCCCCAACTATCTATATAACCTGAGCTCTATTTCCCCCTTAACTTACACAGTAACATTGGAAAGGATTTTTTTTTCGAAAATGAAATTTTTTTCTTCTTTGGTGGAACACTTACATTAATTGAACATTTAAATATCTGCATTTAGAGGAAATGATAATTGCCTCCTTACAATGTTGGTATTCAAAGTAAATAATGTAACTATAGTGTTAAAGCATCTACACAAGAATTATATTCTTTAGGACTATATCTGTTCTACTTATTAAACAGAATTTATTATTATTTACTATTATAAGAGTAACACATACTTAATAAATACTCGCTCATATAAAAGAATATAAAGAAGAAAGCTCACCTGTAATTCCTGTGTTGCTTCCTCTGAACCCCAAGCCCACGTAAGTTAGGTAGTGGATCACAGCTGTGGGGACTGTTACAGTAATGGTCCCCAGTGAACCATGCCTCCCTGTATCCAAGCACCTGGGTAGTCCTCCCACCTCCTCACATTGTTGTTGGCTTGGCCATGACCTGCTTTGGCTGATGGGACATTCATAAACTTGAGGCAAACGCAGGCTCAAAAAACGTCTGTGCATTGGGGCTTGCCCTCTCTTGCTTCTCTTTGGAAGCCTAAACCATGTGAAGAATCCTGGACTAGCTTACTGGAGGATGGGACATCAATGTAGAGCAAGACAAGCCAGCCCAGTGAGCCCCATAGACCAAACCAGACCAAACAAATACTAAATGTGTGTTTTAAGCAACCACATTTTGAAGTAGTTTTTTTTATGCGGTAACTCGTACAATGGCCTTAAGGATTGTAAATGGAGTTATAGGGGAGCTGAAGTTTAGGCAATCCAAGGTCCTAAAAGTGGGTTACTTTGACAGCTCATATCAAACTGTGAAATGGTATTAAATTAGCTGCTTGTATGATCTCAGGGTTTTTTTTTTTTTATGTTAAGACGTAAAAGTTAACTGAAAAAAGATAAAGGAAAGTAACTTACCCCATATTCCCATAAATACTGCAAACACTAGGGTTCCAAAACTATCAAAGATGCACAATTTCTGGAAAATACAATAATGACATATAACTGAATCATGTTTTCTCCTCACTAGCATTCAGCAAATATGCAGTGCTTTGTGTATTCTACAGTCCGAATTTCCTTTAAAGCTGATACCTAGTTTAACAATCACCATATCTATTACATACCTGCAGATGGGATTTCTTGTTGTTTTGAAAGCAAAGAGCCTTTGCTGTATTTACCACAGTGCATTTTCCATATCGTGATAAAGAAATTGGCATAGCCGCTAAGATTCCATTCAGTTTAAAGTATCAGACTTTTGAATGATGGCCTCTTCTTACAAGCTGTCTTAGTGAACTTGAAGTGTACAGCTCTACAAACACAAGGAACTCAGAGCAACTTTTGGATTTACAATTTGCATCTTATCATCATCTCATCCTGGTCGGATGATAGGTTACTGAGTTCTTGCTTTTCTTGCTAAGAAGAGCACAAGGCTGGGGTTTATTCTGAGATGGCTCTGCCCAAGGAGAGGTGTTTCCCCAAACCCAATGATGGCTTTTCTAGATCAATGACAGAGGCTTCCAGGAGATTAAGGAGGTACAGGAACTACTGCTGACATTACAATGGGTGCAACCATGAATGAACAGATGATACACCTGTACAAAGAAGGCTTTATTCACTAGTTCTGCTAAATTTCTTTTCTTTTTTTTTTTGCTAGTATATAAATAACCTATCTCCCTTTCGGGATTCCTGGAAAATCTTTCAATTAGTTACTAATTTTCCACTAGTGAGTATTTTTACATATCCTAAAAAAACCTATAAAGTATAAAGGAACTGGAAAAAGTAGGCAAACATGTAGAATATCAACTTTATGATAGATCATACAGACCATATGAAGAGTAAAGAAGCTACAGGATTAAAAAAAAACAAACAAAAACCCAAACTTTTCAGTTGCTAAAGAAAATTCAAAGTTGCTTCTAAGGAAAACTCTTTAAGTAACTTTTTTGGTTGCCCTTTATATACTGATATAAAGTTGGTAAACTTTCATCTATGTGAAAATATGTTTTCATAAAAGAATATCCACTTAACCATTGTCTTGTACGTGTGTTTTCCAAAGCATACAGATGTCCCTCAATCCTCTATCTGAACCTGATCAGAAAGCACAATCCCAAACTGTTACCCAACTATTCCTCTCAAAAAATCATTTAAGGAAGACAGAATTAAGGAGTGGCCACTCTGGGGAACACTGCACCTACCTATTCCTCTAGTCCTGGCATTCCATGGACTAATATTTCAAATCTTTCAGCTTTGACTCTTACGGAACCAAAGCTCTCATTTAATGTTATGCCTTATCCTTCAGTGAAAATTACTGTAAGAAAAGTCTTATGCAGAACTGTTCCATGCATTATAATGGTATTACTGAAGATTCTGTCCAACACTACTCCTAGGAATCACTGTAAACCTCTGATACCTCCCTACTTGCCCTGATACCTCTGAGTACCTACTCCAGAAAGAAAAAAACCCTACCCATGAATTCTTTGCCCTACCATGTTGAGAAAAAGCCAGTGGATGCTTATCTGTCAGTGTGACAGAAAAAAAAAAAAAAAGGAGTAGCAAGAAAAAGCAGGTTTACCACTAATGCCAAGATCACCCCAGTTGACTGGCTCAAGATAAGAGATGTGCTTTGCGCTCCTAAGAAATGGAGTTAGGTGACCTGGATGAAGTTATCATTTTTGCCACATTTGTGAGGATCGAGGACTCAGTGGAAAGAACAAGATGGCTGGCTTCCCTATGTACCCCGTAAGCAGGAATCAGGGGAGAAGGTAAGCAAGGGGTGTTCTTGGTAAAAAGCTTAGCTTAGTTTGCTTGCCAGGAGGGCACAGATGGGGAAACACAGTTGTGTTAAGGACAGCCCCAGTCAGCATCCTGCTTTAATCACATAGAATAGGAAAGAAAAAAGATGGCTGCACATATATAAAGGGCATGATGTTTTAAAGCAGAGGAACCAATGAAAATCTAGAAAAGTGACTGTTGTGTTTCTTCCTGCAAAGGAACAAAATCAAAATTTTATAACAATGTATTTCCGAGAACAAAATATTTTAAGTTACCACACATTCCTTTTATCTTGCGGGCCAAAAAGCTAAGAACCTTATTTAATGCTCAATCACAAAAACAACATTAATCCTGATTATCTCCATAACTGTTCCCTCACTTCCTTGATCATAATTTTCTAATTTATTAACCCTTTTAGCACTCATGTCCATTACTGAATACTCTCTTTCCAAAAGAAAGAAGCAGAAATGAATATATAAATGTATGAATAAAGAAATGATTGAATTAGCCAACAGAAAGACATGGAAAGCTGCTTTTTCTCCCCTTTAAAATTTTTAAAATGTAATTCTTTTACAAAGGGAAGGAGGCATATGAAAGAATAAATCACCCTAACAAGATTCAAAGGATTCTTTAGGAAATTAGGATAGAATAAAAGATTCATTTTTTTCCAAAACAATGAAAAAAAAAATATACACAGGGCCACGTGTTTGAAAGTCACGTGTTTAGGGATGGGTCGGTGGAAAAGAAGAACTGAGAGAAGAGATGGATGGGGGTGTGGTGTTTGAAAGAGAATTTCTTAAAGAAAATGAAATTTCCAATTGTACTTTGTGGAGTATAGTTTGCCTCTGGCATTATCACTGGCATTTGCCTTAGACCCAGTGTCCAGGGATATGCGCTAACTAGTGACCTTTATGAGTCAACATCGCTGGAAGGCAGCGTCCCTCCTGCTAACTTCAAGTCTTTTACTTTATGTGATTTATGACAGATTTTTATAGTCTAGAATTTGTGTTAGTTTCTGGGGGAGAGGCAAAGAAATCTACTTTAATTCATAAATTAAGAGTAAAATTCCATGTATCGACAATACCCTGCAATCATCTTAAGTAGCGGAACGTTTTTCAGACACAGTGTTCAATTTGTGAGTGAAGTGGCTGCTACTATTGTCAGCTGGTGAGGAACACAGTAATGGCAAGAAAGGCAGATTTGCTGTCAATTTCTGGCTTTGTCAGTTACTAGGTGGGTGACCTTGAGCAAATTATTTAATCTCTCAGACCCTCAGTGTTTTAATCTGTAAAATGGAGGTAGTACCTGTTCCGCCTACCTCACAGGGTTGTTGTGTCAAAAGGTCAAGAATCTTTCAAGATATACATTTTAAGTGACATTATAATAGGAATGTATTTGGTTTTAAATAATTCTCTGATGGAGTAAGCTGGAATATTCTGAAATCATTTAGGATTCCTAAGCTTT